ATTTTATATGAAATGAAAGCTCGTCAAAAATGGGGTTTATTGATACTAAATAGTGAGGGTTATAAAAACTTTTTGATGTCTAACTTAAGAAATTTACACTTTTTTTTGGGATGGAAATTGTAGTTATTTAAAGTATCTATAGCTATTTAAGTTTTTGCATAGCTTTTTAAGTATTTGCCTAGCTATTAGCTACTTGCATGGCTATTTAAGTATTTACATAGATATTTAAGTATTTGCATAGCTATTTAAATCTTCTATAGGTATTTAAAAAATTCTGTGCTGTCTATTAAACATTGGATATTTGTAAATATCAGCATGAGTAGCTGTGAAATCGAAACAGTATTTAATGATTGCTAATAGTATTATATAAATTGATATTGCTATTAAACTGACAACGAACGATTTTTTCAACATTACTTATCTTTTTGAGCAAGTGGATGTGGGTGTGGGTGCAGATAGAAGGAATACTTACACCCAAACCCCACACTCACCCATCCACCCAGCCACACCCACACCCACACCCTAGGTCAAAAATTGGTCGGGGACGGAAAGGCCTTTTTTTTCTTTGAATCACATTCTTATGCAAAACAAACCTTATATTCGTGATCAACATCGTCGATAACCTATATCTAGATCAAATTGCGATAAAAAACAGAAAAAAAAAATTTTTCTGAGGGGGACCAAGGTAAAATTTTTTTACAAAAAAAATATAAGCTTTATTCAGAATTTAATGCTGATTCCAACCATGTAATTTTTTTCAAAAAATGTTCTGGTCAAAAAATTGCCTTACCGCCACTTGTTCTTTAGCATATGAGATAACATTAGTTATTTCCATCTATCATTATCTATATATGCTACATCTCTATTTTATATTATCGAAATGCGTAAAACTTGAATTGTAGACAATAGATCAATAATCAGATTTTCAAATTGATAAAAACTGATGTCATCTAGTTCAAGAGAAACGTACGTCAAATGATTTAATGCAGGTACACGTATTTTTATCCGCAGTGACCAATATTTTTGTTGTAACTGAATAGAACAACGACGAAGTTGAGGACATTTGGTATTAAACTATTCAGTTCATTCAAGCGTATGACATTGCTGATTGTTAAATCCTATATCGAATTGTAATCATTAGTAACTGGCGATAGTGGATTATCATTATAAGTGTATCCTTATAAGGACAATTTGCAATATTTTAATGCACGTAGACAAAATATTTAATGATAGATAGCATTTTCAACAGAAATAATAATTAATGAAAAGAGAAACGGCAGAGGAATTAATTGAAGAAGAAGTTTTTCCAGATATTTTGATTTAATATTATCGAGAATAAATCTTGCAAGTTGGAGAAATACTCATAGTATTCGAATTAGTGAAGACACATAATCGTAAATGAATAGATTTGATAAACGAAGTAAATTAATTTGATTGATGTTGATCATAATAACGACTGTACCGTATCATTGATAAGCTGATTTAGACGATAGATAAAAAATATTAATTTTAATCGGCAGAGTTGAATTAGCAAGGAGATTATAAGTTTTGTATGAATATTGAAAAAAGCTTCATATTCATGAAAATGGTCAAGATATTTAAATACTTCATACATAAAGTCATTAGAAATATCTTCAAAACATGTGATAGTTTCTTTTGATAAACTATAAAAAGTAAATTCAATTTAAGAAATAGATTTCAGTTACTCATCAATTGTAACGTTTACTTCGAATCTTCTTTTTCTCGCTGTCATCACAAATATAAAAAATGACTTCATTGATGTTTAATTTGTTCTTTATAGGGATCTAGAATTCTGAAATAAATATAAAATTGAATAAGAAAACTATTCATTGCTAATAGCATGGACAAGAAAAAGAATATGAACGAACTATACTGATGATTTTTTTTTTGAAATTTCCGAGAAAATTCAGTATTCATAAACGAAAAACACTGAGGTAATTACAGCGATTAGACCTTTTATTGATATATGGCTATGAAGCAGGCTAATCAAAATTTTGTTGATTTTTCATCGTATAGTGCACGCTTGTATTACCTTGAGCGAAAATAAACAGAAAGGAAGAAACTGGATGAAGATAAAAATGAAGAAAAACGTGTAGTATTAAAGAATAGTAGTAGAATAATGTTGTATTTTATTTTTGATGCGTAATATAGGTCGGTAACAAAGTTGGAATTTTCTCTCAACGTATAAAAAAGAATATAGAAACCATTTTCTAAAACCTACATGATTTATATTTATCAATAAATACAATAAAAAACTTCAATTAATTTTATTCTCCTTATTACGAATCGTATATTTTCCTCGAGTCGTTCAAGAGTTCACACAATTTTAATCTTTTACTATGATGTATTATGATTTTTTTCATATATACTTGCGAAATTTTATAAATTGCACTCGAACACGCAAGCACAATTCTAATTCTTCATTATGAGAATGAGTGTGAGTGTAGGTTAAGGTGAGACTGAATTATAAATTATAATTTGAATAAAACGTTATCCTTTGCTTTTGCTGAACGGGTTCTAGTGTGACTTTGAAATTTTCATTTATTTTCGAGCTCAATTTAAGAAGTAGCTATAAACTTGAAAGCTGTTGTGTATTCTATAATGTTGATATCTGTTTTTATTTCACTGTTTTTCTCATTGGAGAAGGAAAATAATTTGAAAAGAATGACAAACATGGTGGACTAATTTCAACAAACCGAATTAAAGGATGAAAAATTGATTTTATCATACTTTGCTTTTTTCTATTCATTTGTTGATCTTGTTTTTTTTTACAAATTATGAATGATTGATGTATTTGTTTTCGCGCCTAATGCATAACAAGAGGAAGTGATGGTGCAAACGCCGCAGATAAACATTTTTTTCCGTCTATTGCTTTTTCGTCCTATAAAAGCCATAATTAATATCAGATAGAAAAAAGAAAAATCTGACGGATTTTTTTTTTACTATGGTCATGCTTGATTACTTCATTAAGTGAATAGAAAAATAATAAATAGGTATTTCATAAATCATTTTTTCTCGCACTTTATTTTTATTGCCATTAATCACTCGGAAGAAAACATAATAGTGAGTGTTTTTCAATAATTTTTCATCAATCGTTCCTTCATTTTTCGGTCTTATTATTTTTTCGTTTTTATTCAAAGATATTGTCTCCCACTAGAATTCAATATCACGAATATGTCAGTAAATACCTTGTTGGCGACATGAAAATTTAGATTCATATTTTTTTGTATCTATTTTGTAATACAGACAACAACAAAGTTTTTTTAAACATCCATCAAATACATACCATATTGTCATGTATCGATCGATCAATCAACAAGCCATAGTCATACGGCGAACTGTAGAGTAGGTTAATGTTCTTTATTTCTTTTTTAAGAGACGAATGAAAATGAAAAAAAGTCAAGTTCAATAGTAATGAAAAGAGAACAAATGTTTTAATATTGTAAATTTCCGCTCGTAATAGAAGCACCGAGAACTTCAATTTGATTTTCGGAATTTTGGTCACGTGACTCTGAGAAAAATTGAAACTTTCGATAGAGAGAGGCTTCCATAACTGTGACGGATTTAAAGCACGAAGAGCCAAAATTTCTAAAGATCATTAAATCAGGTCATATTCTTCAAGAAGATTTTTAAAGCAGTTTAAAGTTTGACATTTATGTGTTTCTCATGTGAATTGATAAATATTATGCTTATTGCATTGTGTGGTGATTTTTTTCTTAATAATAAAACTCTATTTTGTCCTAATTCATCTTAAACTATAATCAAATTCCTAAAAAAGTGCGCTTCGTACTATTATAAGGCAAAATTTTGCGCTTTCGTCAATCGAGCTTCGATTTACAAGATAAAAATCCCGTATTTTTTGAGGGGTGAACCATTTAATTAGTCTAACGACGTATTTTGTAAGTAAATGACTAATTAGTAACAACAAAAAGTGAAAGCTTACCTGTTACATGTGGGTGTGGTCACGGGGTGTCGGTGTGAAACTCTCTTTATCTATTCATATCCGCACTATTATCTGAAGTGAAATAACAGCAATTTTCACATCAATATTTGAAAAAATGTAAGAATTATACATTGATATTTAAGCATCCCAGATACTGATCTTTTCTCATTCGTGAAAGAGTATCCATTGAAGTAATATGTAACAACCTATCTGCAAAAAAAGACTCTTGAAAGCATACAAAATATATTTAGGTGACTTTCTGTTCATGAACGATATTTTCTATTATGACGCATTAGCAAATGACAGGTCTCGAAGAAGAAATACAAACAAAAAAAGTCCTAGCTGTTGGTCACTTCTTCCAACTGAAATGGCTAAAGAAGATAGTTGCTAATTATAAACCGGATTTAAATCAATGAATAAATTTTTCTCGCGATAAGAGAGTAGCGGCTCGTTCTTTCTTACTATTCCTCTAATAAAACCAAATCATTCCACTTACATGCTATTTATTTCTGTTTCTTATCTCTTTTCTTCTGCTTTTGATTCGTTTATCATTGTGAGTATGCTGAAACGTAACAAATAAATAAAAGTATACTCACAAAAACAAAAAATATCAATAAATATAATTCAAATCATTGCTTTGTCTTGAATTAATTTTAGTTTATCAAAACTACAAACAATAACAGTACATAAATTAAAACAAATTTTTGATGATTTCAATCAATTTTCATCATTATTCGACTTTATTAGTCATTTAATTAATATTCTTGATATATTGAAAAATATTGATGTGATCATTTTGACGGATCCATTGATTATTAATCATAAATTTTATTCTCTACTTATCGATTTATTGGAACATATATGTAATAAATGGCATAAAAGATATTATCTTCCTGAAATAGAATCATTTTTATTTTGTCATATAATTGAAATTCTTTTCAAAATAGAAATACATTCAGAAAAATTAATTTCACCAATTAAAATATGTTTGAAAGATATTGCAAAACATGGAAAACATTTATATGATAAAAACAACATGAAATATTTCTCAAAATTAGTTAGTCTTTATATACAAAATCAAAAAATTATAAATGCAATTGTAAAATGTTTGTGTTCAAAATATTATGTTAAAATGTTCGAACGAATAGGAAGTGACGAATTTCTCTTAATATCATGTCCAATGTACTGGATCGGTTACACAGGTATGATAAAGAGTTTCGACAACATTTGGAAGTTAACTGACTACTGTCTATTTAGGTTCAGATAAAGAAGAGACAGCTAATATATTATTAAATGCGCTATTACCATCTTCAATTCGTTTATTACAATTAAAACCTTCAAAACATGTTACTCATTTACTTGATTTATTAAATCATAGTTTTGCATTATGTAGTTCAACAATATTTACAAATAATAATCTACTAGTTCCAATAACATATACTTTATTGTCGATAATAAGTGATCAATCAATTTCCGAAGAAAGTCAATCGATGATTAAAAGCATTCTTCGCCTTTTGTTAACTTTGATTAATAATAATCAAATGATTTTCCAATGTGTTCAACAACGTCAAGAATTGTTTCAGAATTTAATTGGTTTAGAAGACGAAGCTTATATAATATTAGTGTCAATAATGAATGATTCAGAAATTAAATCTATGATCAACAGTAACGAAACTTTTGCTCTGTGCGTGCAAAAATATATTGAACAACAGAACGATACAAATCATTTCTTAACAGCAAGATTAAAATGTAAGTTAAGTTTTATAGTATTTTTGGTAGAATAAGAGTGTATCAATGTGGCGTGAGTCATTGGTATATTCTCAAGAGCGTTCTGTTCACATACCTACTTACATTCGCATCCATAGAATGATAAGAAATTTTGAAAATACGTTTAGTCGGTGCAATCACAGTCTCCGTTTGAGTGCTTCCTCGTTCATTCAGAAAGCATTAACGCTAGCTACTTGCATGATAAAAGCTGCTTGACGATACTTGAGAAGGCAAATTTTGGATGTGGAAAATAGCCAAGAAGTTTTCTCATAACATTTTTTACATATCCCATTTATAAAACATCGTTGTTATCTACAAAAGAACGTCAAAATACTGTGGATATTTTTTTTTTGTTTCTCAAATTAAAAACCTGCTTTTTCTAGTGTCTTCAAGTAGCTAGTTCTAGTGTTTTCTTAATAGACATAGAAGTGCTCAAACGACACCTGCGATTAGGTCGATTAAATGCGTTCTTCGAAGGTTCTTGTCTTTGCGAGGATGCAAACGTGGATACACGTATGTGTCGGTGAGAGTTCAGAGAAAATCTACATTCAAACTGAGACCTGTATCCACATTCTTTCAAGTTCATTTTTTTCTTAATAAAATCTTATTTTATAACATGTCAGTAAACATGAAATCTATATACAGGCATAAATGAAGACAGAAAATAGTCGTTCGTTTTTTTTGCAAAATTTCAATAAAATGATAATAATTCATAAAGAGTAGCCGAAAGGAATGGTATATTTTCTAATTTCTGAATATAATATTAAGTTCGAGATCTGAAAATATTTTCTAGTTTACTACGTATAAATTTATTTGAATATAAGCATTTTACTGAATATGAAAAATCTACAAGACTTTATTCTACTAATACCTTTCTCAATGGAATAGTATGGACCAAAAAAAAAACGCAAATCTTATATAATTCATTCTTTCTCATCTAATGTTAAACATAAAGAAAATTTTTCAGTCAACATAGACATCAGTCTAATGTTGGAATTAATCAATGATTTTTCTTATTTTTTTATAGTTATACTAGCATCACCAGTAAATGCAGAAGAAACAACAGTTCCACGTATACCTCCTACTACACTTTCATTTCAATCGATCTTTACATCAAATGAAAATGAAAATAAAGAAGGAATAACGTTAATGTGGTATGATAAGAACATCGGTATACGTGATGATACAAAAAAAACTATTGAGTTACTTCAAAAAGTTAACGATTATGTTTTAATTTGTTCAAATCGTCAAACATGTATTGAATATATTGATCAAATTAAAACAGAAAAAGTTTTTCTTATTCTATCTGGTATAACTGCACAAGATATTCTTGATGAAATACATGATCATCAACAAATTGATTCAATTTATATTTTTTGTATGGAACCTGAAAAGTATGAAATATATTTAAATAATAATATTTATTCTAAAGTTAATGGAATTTATACAAAATATGAACCATTATTAACTGCTTTACAAGAAAATATTCGTTATTCAATGAAACAATCTGAAGCAATTAGTTTATTTGATCAAGATGAACGTTCGATGCGAAATTTAAATGAAGAAATCCATACATTTAAATATTTTCGTGTATTCAAACAAGTTCTCTTAAAAACAGAATATAACAATGATAAAGCAAAAAATGATATGATCGAAATATGTCGAAATTATTATCGAAAAAATAAAAAAGAATTATCAGATATTGATAAATTTGAACAAACATATAAATCAGAAGATGCTATTCGTTGGTATACAAAACAAACATTTGTTTATCGATTAGTTAACAAAGCATTGCGAACAGAAGATTATGAAGCTATGATAATACTTCGATTTTTTATTGTTAATTTATCTGAAAATCTTCAACGAGAATATGAGGATTACAAAAAAAAACAAAATAAACATTCACGTGTTCTTATATTATATCGTGGATTAAAATTACCTTTTGCAGAAGTCTATTCACTTAAGCATAACATTGGTAAAACTATTGCAACTAATGGATTTCTATCCACTACCAGATCAAAAGATGTTGCTTATAAATTTGCTAAAAAAGGTATAAAACGCACCGATGTTGAAACAGTTATCCTCGAGATTGAAACTGATTTTAAAAAATTAACAATACCATGCATTGATATTGCTCAATATAGTGTTTTTCCAAACGAACAAGAAATTCTTTTCGATCTAGGTGCATCGTTTATTATAAAATCGGCGGATTATGATACTGATCAAAAGATATGGCTTGTTAAATTATCAGCTGTGTCAGAAGAAACACCGAGCAAGTATACACAAGTATTACTTGAGGAATACAAGTCAGAAACAGATATGAACATATTACTTGGTAAACTACTCTATAAAATGGAAAAATATGGGATTTGTCGAAGGGTTTTTGAAAAGCTATTAAATTTCTATGGAAGTGAAGAATATGAAAAATTAGCTACAATTTATAATTTTATTGGAGAATCATATGCATACGAAAATGATTATGATAAAGCTATTGTTAATTATAAAAAAGCTTATAATTATTACATAAAATTAAGACAATTTCAAGATGCTGCCATAGTAACAAACTACATTGGTGCTGCATATTTTAATAAAAATGACAAAGAAAATGCGCGATTTTATTGTACTAAATCACAGGATATGTGGAAGGAATTGCCAACCTACACATCAGAATATATTCATTGTGAAATTGGTTATATGCTGAATTTATGTGGTTGTTTAGAAGATGATAATCAAATTGCATGTGATTATTTTTTGAAAGCTTTAAAGATATACGAGAATCCATCTAAAATGTGCAATCATATTCAACATGATCATCGGATTGCAGAAATCTGTGAAAATTTAGCATATCGATATAATCAAGACAATGATAATGATAAAGCATTAGAATATATTATGAAAAGTGTGAATATACGAAAAACAAATATTTCATCGCTGCAAAAACGTAAAAACTATATATCATGCTTAGAAATACTAAGACAAATCTGTGGAAAAATTCATACAAATATTTGGTCAGAATATGCGGATCAATTTCGGAAATTATCCGATACCGAAGATATTGACCTACTTTCTCGGTACAAACAAGCACTTGATACGCCAGACAATATACGAAGATCACATTTTAAACACAACTATAATATTAGTGAATCAAGTAAGTTTTTAGAATATTCATTAAAAACATTGACATTCATGTCAAACACAAATCACACAAATTACGAGAACATTATTCAAGCACATATTGATATTGCACACGCTTATGCAAATACAAAAGATTGTCACTGGTCACGTCAACATTGTGAAAAAGCTTTAGAAATATATCAAACAAATGCCCTTAATAATCCAAAACTTATGTCAACAGTTTTTGAGTTGTTGTCCAATACATACTTGCATAACAATAATTTTGACGAGGCATTTAATTTGCGAATGAACGCATTAACCACTGATGACACTACACATCATTTAGCGCCAAGAGAAAAAGAAGCACAATGTTATTTCGATCTTGGTTACGAACTTTTAGGTACGAATCCTGATAAAGCACTTGAATTTACCAATAAATCATTAGAAATTCGACTAGAAATTTTACCAGAAGATCATGTTGCAATCGGCTTTTGTTATCAAGATATTGGTACTGCTTACGAAAACAAATCTATGTTTGATGAAGCAATAAAGCATTACAAAGAGGCAAT